CCCTCTATGATTCCACAAGACATGGATAGCGGATACGAGGTTGACCGGATCATAGAGCATGGTTACTTCTCTACGGAAGGACGGGACGACCTCAGAAGTAGTTCAAGGTACGTTTTAAAACTCAAGCACCATCTGAGGACAGATGGTTTAGTAAACGAGAACTACTTGAAACTGCTCCTGATATTGTCGCTGCTTATGAACGAGGGTTAAAGTCTTAAATATTTCTGCGGTGGAACTCGAAAATGGGCCAGCAGGAATGTAATAACCCTGTTCAGAGGTAGCCTGGGGCCCAGAACTCAGCCCCAGGCCACGCAGACCTGAGTAGGTCTGCGCTGCTGTGTGACCAAAAGACCCCCAGGCCTGAGCCTGTCGAGTCTGGTTGTGTGACCGAACGCTGCACACAAGAAATTCAAGAGTCAAAGTCAACTGTAGAGTCAAAGGTACCGCACCCAGGCCCTTGGTTGGATACACTCACTTGTTGTGCGCAGGTACCCAAACAACATCCAGGCCGGAGGGAATTCGGTTTCAGGCCAATTTGCGCCCTCATTCGCATTGAGATCTGGACGGGTTAGGAATACAGCATCCAGGGCCTAGACCCCGCGTCAACACTACATAAGAGTTGACTTCCTGGCTTTGAGATTCATTCTGTCTTGCGTTGACGCTACTTCACTCGTTGACTTCGACGCTGGCTTGACGCTACGACGCTGGCATTGTGACTTGGCGAGGCGCTGCTAGTACCGGCATGGTGGCCGGCTTACTCCTGTCTTCTTGGCATGCTGACGTGGCAGCTGCCATGCGCTGTTGCTGATGTGGCTGCTGCCACGTGTTCTGTGGCTAGGACTACGTGATCGACATTGCTGTTCTACTTCATCGTCACTTAGGAGGAGATCAGGACTGTGGGAGAGTTCGTGGATACGTACCTGGTTGTCTCTATGTCGATAATGCTCCATTGCTGATGTGGGACTAATTAGATGTGCCACATGCACATTGAGGATACTTCAGATACTCGTTCAAACTAGTGATTGTTGAGGTGGCAGCAGAGGAGGGAGCCCGAAGCAGGAGTGGGCATTGTATTTTTCTATCCTTCGTCTCTTCTCCACCTTCTCTCTTCGTCTGTGTATGATTACCTCATCCCATTCTGTCTGGTTACGATTTTGACTAGGAATCATCAGTTGATGGACATTTATCTGGGCTTGCATTATTGACAACTGTCTCACGAAATGCTGATAGGCTTTGCAACCTCCTAATATGCCTAAAAACGAAATGCTGATAGGCTTTGCAATATTTTGGTTTTCAAAAAAAATTTGCGAGATAGAATGGAGATTCGATTTTCAGAAAAGAAAAAAATCCGGTTTTCGAGAATATGACCACCTCTATCGTTATCCTAATATGCCTAGAAAACGAAATGCTCACATCAAAAATTTTCGGCTATATATGCGAATATCAGAAATTTCGGATGCTAATACCAGAGAAACGAAATTCTACTTTCTGAAATTTTCAGATATTTGTTGCGTGAAAACGAAATGCTAATATCAGAAATTTTCAGATAAAACGAAATGCTATTATCCGGAAATTTCAGATATTTGTAGCGAGAAAGAAAAAAAAATTCAGAGATTTGATGAAGTCCTACTTGATTTACTAATAAACATTCAATAGATCAAGCAAGCTGGCTACTTGATTGAGCGGGTCCTCTAATTTAGAGGTCCGCTCCGAGACCAGTCGCATACCGTAACGGTGCAGACCAGAACAAGAACCGACCTCTCTCACAAAGTACAAGATAGCGTAGCGGAAGACTTAGATACCAATGATCCGAACAATCAATGTTGCAATGCAGCCTCAAACATACATCATCATCATTCCATGGTGTGAAGGGGCCTGGCGCTCACACAGGAAGAATGTGCCAGTCCCCAACCATACACAGACGGAGAAGAGGGGGGTTAGACGAAGAAGAAGGGAAGATGGGAATGTCGTCAACACCAAGTCTTCGGTACAGGTCCCAAATAATCCCTCGTCAAATGTCTGAATCCCCATGTCGAGTCTGGATCCAATGTCGTCAAGTCTCAAAGTCACAACTCTCTATCTCTCTCCCGTAGTCCGCAGATACTGAGAAGACAAGTAGCGAGAGGGTGAGGAAGAGATGGTGGACTTAGAAGAGGAAGAAGAAGAGCTCTCTCTCTCTCTCTCAGTCCGGTACTAACCTGTGAAGTTGGCGCCTTGATGCAGGTACGTCGAAGATGAAGCTGGAGCTATGGTGCCACAGGTAAGTCTCCCTGGCCTCCGCCAGCCATCTCTCTCTCCAACACTACTCCTACCAGCGCCCAGCGCTGAAGACGACCACTACAGCTATTAGTGCCCAACGCTGAAGACTACTGCTAGCGCTAAAGCTACTCCTGCAGCGCTCCAGAGTTGTGCTGCCGAATCCTGAAGACTACTCCTGCCTTCTGCCTACCCGTGAAGTGCATGGGAACTCCCTATGTACTACGTCGGCCTGCCTCCTGATTGCCTCCGACTGCCTGCAGTTGCAGGGCGGGGCAGTCCAGGAGGCTGCTCTTGCCAATGCCAACGTGAGCCAGGGCCTGGCGCTGCAGCTCCTGCTGAGGCTGTCGTGGGAACATGCCAGAAATAGCCTGTTCCTAAAACCCTGGTTTGGTGCCTGAATGTCAGGGCAGGTCGATCTTATGAGGGCCCGAAAGTGGCCCTCCGTTTCAGGCTGAAAAGACTCAGGGCCCGGACGGCCCTGTTTTAGGCTGAAACGACATAGGGCCTGCAAGCCCTTGTTTTCAGGCTTTTAGGCTGAAAACGACACAGGGCCTGTAGGCCCTTACTTTCCTTGTTTGGTCGGGCCTTGCAGGCCCGTGTGGATGCGCAGTATGCCACATGAGAGGTCAAGGTCGTAGCTGCTACAGTCTTAGAAAGGCCAAGACCCAAACTTCAAGAAGGTCCTAGTAGTGGCCTTTCGAAGCTGCTCACGTTTGGCACAGAGGCAAGTGGGCAAGTGGTGGAGTCTACCCGTGCCGAGTTAGCAGTCCCAGTCCCAGTTTGTCCTAGCCCAGTCAAGCAAGTAACGTACGGAACTGTGTGCACCACGAGCATGGGAAAGGGTCAGACCAAGAGGCAGCGCCCAGCTATTCATGGATTCCTGCGTAAGGCATGCGGAAGCGCTGCCACAATGACTTGTGCGAGGTGGTCTGCAGTAGGCCCGAAGACGAAGTGGGCGAGAAGGAAGCTTAGCCATAGTGATAGGGTAGCAGCGGCCATAACCGCCATAGCTGATAGGAGGAGAGAGAGTGGCGTGTGTGAGTGTGCGAGTGTATGGTGTGTTGCGTGTGGGATGTCCAGGGTGATCCTGTGTGCGAACAACAGTGTTGAGCAAATGACGAACAGAGAGTTGTACCGGCGCTGATGCGGCAGAGCCATCTGAAGTGAAATTGTATCTGAACTGTGTTCCGGGTCTCCATATTTCTGAGTTTGAAGTGGGTGCTTGTCGCCAGTTTGCTGCGCAACCTGTTTGTATGCATGTGAAGGTGAACGAAAGTGAGTCTGATTGCACTGGTATCGGAGCTGGTACCCGCTATCCCATGCGCCATCGCCGTTGCAGCAGAGGAGAGACGCGCGTCATCATAGGGCGCCATAGCTGAAGTGTGCCACCGTACAGAAGAAGGTGCCGCGTACCTGCAATGAAGACAACGGCGAAGAAGAGAGAGAGAGAGATAGAGAATTGAGCGATACAAGATTGGTTTAGCACGTACCTGCACTGAAGATTGTCTCGAAGAGAGAGAGGGAGGAGTAACGTAAGATTAGTTGTGCGGTCCAAGACGAAGTAGCGGCCATAGCCGCGGAGCTCAGGACACGGAGGAGAGAGGAAGGTGAAGTAGAGAAGGTAGGGGAGATCGGA